CCTTTCCCTTTTTTTCTTTTCTTTTTTTCTTTTTTTTCTTCTTTTTTTTGTTAATAAAGAGTTTCGCGGCGCGCGGTTGACGCCCGAGCGAGCGAGCGAGCGATTCTCCCCCCGGCATCGCCAATCGCAATCGCCAATCGCCTCTTACGTCACGGCGAACGGCTCGATTCATCACGGAGATTATACACGCGCGGGCGGGGGCGGACTTTTTTTTTTTTTTTTTTGGGGGGGGGGAGGGGAGAAGGTGGGACTGGAGGTGCAGTATGGGACAGTGGGGGGAGGGGGGGAGCAAAGGGGGAGGTGGGGGTGGGGCAGTGGGTATGGGGAAGGGTTGAGTGTGGTAAGCGGGAGGGGGTGATGGGATGGGTAGGATGAGGGTGGGGAGGTTGGGGGTAGAGGTGGAGGAGGGAGTGAGGGAGAGGTTGGAGGAACAGCTGGAAAAGGCCAAGGGTCTTAGATGGGGAGGGAGGGGGAGGGATGAAAGTGGGGGGGGAAGGAGAGGGTGGTAAGTAGGGGGGGGGGTGAGAGGTTCGTTGGAGACGGCCTGTCCATCACGAGGAGAGAGGGGCAATTGGCGCTGGCAAAGGGCGTAAAGTGGGGTAGCAGCGGGCAAAGGGGCATCGGTCGGTGAATGGAGATGAGGGAGGAGGGAAGGAAAGAGGGAGGGGGGGCGAGGGCGGAAGGGGGGGAGAAGGTGGTTAGGTGCATCAGGAGGATACGACCGCCGTTGTTTTTTTTTTTTTTTTTTTTTTTGCTTCTCATCATCGTTTTTCTCTTTCCTTTTCTTCAACCTATCCTTTCCTTCCCTCTTTCTCTCTTCCTTTTATTTAGCCTTTCCTTTCCTCCTTTTTTTCCTCTTAAAACACCTTTCCTTCCCTCCCTTCCTTTTTCTATTTCCTTTTATCCTTTTCTTCCCACCCCTTCCTCCCCCTTCCCTTCCTTCCCTTCCTTCCTCCCTTCCTCCCTTCCCCTCCCTCCCTTCCTCCTTCCTCCCTCCCCCTTTCCTCCCAACCCCTTTTCCATGGCCTTTATGCGGGGTCAAGGCGTGTTATGGAAAAGGGGTATTAGGGGGGTAGAGGGGGGGGGGGGGGTGGGCACGCACGCCCGTATGCACATATGAATGCACGATTATCCTCCGCCCGATGACCCTCGCGCCCGTCCTGTGCTTGAGATGTGGTCTCGTTGCGTTGCTCTCTTATCTGCCGTTCCTATCTCGTTCGCTCTCCTTCTTTATTATTCTTGTTCGCTTCTTCCCGTTCTTTGTATGTATATATATTTTTTTGTCTTTCTAAGTCTCTCTTTATCTATCTTTCTGTCTATCTGTATCCATCTATCTATTTCTCTTTCTATCTATCTATCTAATCTATCTATCTATCTATATCTATTATCTATCTATCTATCTATCTATCTATCCACCCATCTGTCTATCTGTCTATCTAAATACCTCTCTATCTCTCTATCTATATATATATATATATATCTATATACATATATATCTACCTCTCTCCTCCTCTCCTCTCCTTCTCCCCTTCCTCTCACCCAAAGCGCAGTCCTTTCTGCTCATGTCAGTTTGACGTCCAGAGTACATTTACCGATTAATCTCTGCTGTGTTGTATCTGAGGAGTCGTATTTTTAAAATTTTACTAAGTCTAACATCCGAGTCATATCAACTAAGTCGTATTTGCCAGTTCGCAGCCGAGTCGTATCAACCAAGTCGTATTTACCGAGTCGCAGCCACCAAGTTGTATCAACCAAGTCGTAAGTCGTATCACCAAGTCGAATCACCCAAATGGCATCTGGCGAGTCGAGTCGCGTGTGGCCGCGTTGGAGTGCGAAGGCACGGCCACGCAACATCATAGCAGGTGCGACGCTTGCTTGTGTTTGCATAAATTCTTAGGGAACGAACGACCCTTCCCGCATCACACGCGCCCGCGGATGTTGCCGGGGGACAGCGGTGGCGCCTCTCCTCCTTCATCTTCTTTCTCTTTTCTTCTCTTCCTCCTCCTCCTCCTTTTTCTTCTTTCTTCTTCTACTTCATTTTCTTTACCTTCTTATTCTTTTTCTTTTTCTTCTTCCTTCTCCTCCTCTACCATCACCTTCTTCGTCGTCTTCTACGTTTTATTCTACTACTTCTTCCTCCTCCTCCACCTTTTCTTCTTTTTCTTCTTTTCTTCCTCCTCCTCCTCCTCCTCCTCCTCCTCCTCCTCCTCCTCCTCCTCCTCCTCCGCCTTTTCTTCTTCCTCTTCCTCCTTTTCTTCTACTTGTACTTCCAACTCTACTTCCACCTTCCACCATCATCCACCGCCGCCGGTCCTTATACTTCTCATTTTGGGTGAAGGCCGAGTGTGACGTCACTCGATTTTCCATTCACCTATTCCATTCGGTAATATTTGATTTGATTTTTTTCTGAATGAACCGTATCGATGGCATTGAAGCCCGAGTGATATTGTAGAAAATTAAAAGTGAGGGTAAAGGGGATTGATCTGCAAAAAGGGGGATTTGTATACAAGAGATGAAATAACATTGCATTATTTTTGGCGATGCAGTTAAAAATTGTCGAACGTTAAGTGATTGAAGTCTTTCTGGTGTTGCATGACTGAACGTTTGTAACAGCTCTTGTTATTTTTTTTTTTTTTTATTTGTTGAGAGGCTGGCGTTAAAAGAGTCATGATTGAAAAAATAGACAAAAACAGGGATTGTGAATATTCGATGTTGCAGTCGTGTGAAATAAATAAAAGAAAAAAAAGGATGAGGCTGTGAGGTTGTGAAATATTATCCATAAAATCTGGGATTTATATATATTTATATCTCGCTTTCCCATTTAAATACAGAGAAGAGGAAAATAGAGAGAAAAAAATAAATAAAGAAAAAGAAGCCTTCACCCATTCGCCGAAGTATTGACTACCCCCCCCTTCCCCCCCTCTACACCCCCCTACCCTTCTCACCCCGCCCCCTCAATCCTATCCCTTTCTCACACCTCCCCCTCTACCCCCTATCCCCCTTCCCCTTCTCACACTTCTCCTCTACCCCCTATCCCCCTATCCCTCCCCCCCACCTTCTCACACCCTCTCTGTCAGCCACGACTATATTGGGAATACAAGCTGTTTACTATGGATGCTGGGATGCCCATCTCTCTACTTCCCATATATTGGCCGATGATGCTGATGCTTCCCCAATGCTGTGCTCTCCTCCGCTCTGCTCCGCGCCTTCCTCTCCCGTTCTCTGTTTTTCTTCTCTTTCTCCTTTCTTTTTCTGTTTTTTTAGTCTATTCTTCGTTTTTTTTTTTCATTCCTTACTTTTTCCTTTTTTTTATTGTTTTCTCTTCCATTTCTTTTTCTTTTCTTCCCTCTACTTTATTTTTTTCTCTCTCCCCTCCCCACCTCTCCCGTCCCTCGCTCTCATTTCTTTCCTTCTCATTTCTCATTCTTCAAAGAAAGAAGGGAGAAAGAAAGAAAAAACAGGAGGGTTACGCGAAGGAGCGAGGGAGGGAGAGGTCGTGATGAGCCAGACCGGGATAGACCGGGATAGACGCCCATTGCGCTGTAGCGAGGAGAGCGGGAGTTCATATGAGGGAAAAGCGTCAAGGAGTTTCGGGGCAAACGATTTTTTCCCGTGTTTTATGGGAATATTTGAATATCGGGCGAAGATTAGAATATGTTTATGTGGGTGCTGAGGCCTCCGTCTTCGGTTTGGCGCTGGGGGGGGGGGATAGGCAGGGGTAGGCAGAGATAGGCCTACTCTCCGTCCCCAGCGAAAGGGGAATGGGTTATTTTTTGTGGAGTTTTTTATTATTTTTTTTTCTTTTTCGCAGAGGATCTTTGGGCTTGGAATCGCCTGGGAATTAGGAGGAAATTCCGAGGAGGCTGATGGCTGATTCTTTTGTTTATCTTTCGACGAGGTTGCGAGGGGAGGTGGGATCTGTTTGCGTCGCTGTCGCCGTCATCTTCGTCATCTTCACCACCAACACCTTCACCTTCACCGTTATCTTCATTACCATCTTCATCTTCATCCTTACCCTCACCTCCACTTCCACCTCTACCGCACCTTCCTCTCACCTCCACCTCCTCCACCTTCACCTCCACCACACCTCCACCTCCACCCTCCACCTCCACCTCCACCCACCTCCTCCACCACCTTCCCACCTCCTCCCTCCCTGACCCCCCCCCCTGACCACTCCCGCCCTCTCTCGCAGACCAGACCCCCTTCCATGTCCTCCTTCCCGGCGCATGTTCCTCGGCCCAATCCTCCAGAGCGATTCGCGGAAGCACTGGAGTCCCTTCCGCTGCAGCCGAGTCCGCCGCCGTTGCTTCTCTACCCCCCCCGCCCCCTCCTCGCCCGACGCCGCCCGTGCGCTTGGCATGACTCATTTCGATTCGCTAATCTCCTGTGAGCTACGAAGGCATTTGTTTTGATAACCGTTCCAATTATGCGGACTTCCAGTTGATCAAATTACACTGGAATTCCGTTTATCCGTAATTGGCTAAATTGGTTTTTCGTGTTTGGAGAGTAAGAGAGAGAGAGGGAGGGAGGGAAGGAGGGAGGGAAGAAGAGAGTGAGGGAAGGAGAGAGGGAGTGAGGGAGAGAGGGAGGGAGATGGAAGGGGAGGAAGGGAGGGAGGGAGGGAAGGACGAAGGGAGGGAAAGATTGAGGAGGGAGGGAGGAAGGGAGGAAGGGAGTGAGACACAGAGGAGGAGGCATACGTAAATACAATTACTGGGAATGTGATTGTAACCGAGGCTGACTGACTGTTTCAAGGAAAGTTTTTTTTTTCCCTTTGTGTGTGTGTGTGTGTGTGTGTGTGTCTGTGTCTCTCTTGTGCATGTGTGTGTGCGTGTGTATATATCTTCCTGTCTATCTGTGGGTGCTGCCTGCCTGCCTAACTGCCTGTGTGTGTGTATCTACGTGTGTATATGCGTGTGCGCGTGTGTACGAGTGTGTGCGCCTCGTGCATCGAGTATTAAGTCGGTCTCACATTCACAGGTTGCAATAATAAAAAAGCATCAGGCATCCCGTCCCGTTAGCCTCTTCCTGGGCCCAGCCACCATTAGGGCTAGAGGTACACCATTAAGTCCCAGATTATGACCCCATTTGTCGTAATTATCGTCTTTTTCCTGCCCCCGCAACTTCTACGTTTCCAGTGTAGGCCGTTAATTCGGGCCTAAAGGGTTTGGGGGGAGGGGGGGGCTGGGGTGAAGGGGGGGGAGACGTTTTTCTTATTGGTAACGAGATTATTACTTTTGTTTCTTCTCTGTTGCAGTTATTGTTGTTTATGTTTTTTGCCGGATTCTTCGTTCACGATTATTACGGCATCTGCGTTGTTATCATTTTCTTTATCTTTTACTACCTTTTAGATATACTGAGTCATTGTTATTATCTTTCCTATTAATATTGTTGTTATTGATTATATTTATTATTATTGCAATTGATATAAATATTGATATTATTATTATCATTATTACTCTTATTATTGAATATTATTATGATGTTTTTGTTGCTGTTGCCCTTATCGTTATTGTTATCATTGATGTAATTAATCAACGTCGTCATCATTATTTTAATGATAGTTTGACGAATGAAAAGAGCCGTGCTGGGGGAGGGAAAGGAGGGGGAGAAACAGTTCACCCGAGAGCAGGGGACTTCCGGCAAAAGAACGGTAATGCCGGCAAAATAGCAGTATATTCAAAGTGTTGCCCAGAAACGTTTTAACTTTTTTTTTTTGCAAACTCGTTTATGATCATCTTTCGCGGTTTGTATTTTTTTACTGTGTGATTATTCAATAGAAAAATGCTTTTGGGTTATTTTTTTTCTTTTTCCTTTTTTTTTATATGAGTCTGTTTCGTAATAAGCTTGCTGTTTTTATTAGCATTTCTTTCGTAAAGAAGAAGAAAAAGTTAATCTTTGGGCTAAAAGTATCACAAGTTTCGCCTTAGTCTCGAGACAAAGAAAACACCTGATGTGAAAAGAGGAGGAAGAGGAGGAGGAGGGTGGGGGTGGAGGAGGAGAAGGAGGAGAGGAATTGGAAGAGAAACAAACAAACAAGAAATAAGAAAAAGGAAGGAGGAGGAGGAGAATAAGAGGAAGAGAAAGAGAAACAAACCCAAACAGGAGATAAGAAAAAGGGAAGAGGAGAAGAGAAAGACAAAGAAAAACAAACAGAAACAAGAGATAAGAAAAAGGGAGGAGGATAAGAGAAAGAGAAAGAGAAACAAACAGAACCAAAACTCCGAGAACGACCAAGAAAACGGAAAGGATGAAGAAGAAAAGAAAAAAAAAGCGAAGACTCGGAGAAGAAACCGAGAAACCTCCAGTTCTTCACTAATCTCCAGTTACTTCATTTACTCTCCCGAGTCGCGGCTGGAATAATAATGAAAATTCCCGTAGTCGTTTTTCTGCGTTAGTTGAAGCAGCAAGCAGCGGGGTCGCGGGGCTGGAGTTGGCAACGGTGGGGGGGCTAAAATGTGTCGGCAAGTTGGCAACGGTGCGGCAAGATATGTGGCTAATGAGTATTTAATGTTGGCGAAATGTCTAAAAGGGCAAAGGGAGATTTTCTTATCTGTTATCTGGCGGGGGTCGGCCCGGGCGGAGGGGGCTCGGCGCGGGGGGACAGCCCTCGCTTTATTTGCGTTTATTCGTTTATTGGTGCGTCTGGGCTCTTCGTTTCGGGTTGTCTGTTCTGTCTGCTTCTTCTTCGTTTCTGGTTGTCTGTTGTCTTCTTCTTCTTCTTCGTTTCTGTTTGTCTGTTCTGTCTGCTTCTTCTTCTTCGTTTCTTTTTGTCTATTCTGTCTTCTTCTTCTTCGTTTCTTGGTGATCTTTTCTTCTTTTTCTTCATCATCGTAATGTTGTTGTTTTTTCTTTTTTTCTTCATCCTCTTCCTCTTCTTTTTTCGGATTATTTTTCTTTGTGTCCTTATCTTGTTTCCTCCTTTTTCTCCTCTTCCTATTTCTTCTTCTTTTCTTTTTTTTTCCTTTCCTATTTTCTTCATCTTGCTCCTCTTCTTCTTCTCTTGTTCGTGCAAGTAATTAATTGAGGATCTTGTTCTCGTTTTCTCTTTTTTTTCTTTTTCTTCCGTTTTTGCCTCCTTGTTCTTGCTTCTTCTATCTCTATTCTCCTTTTGTTTCGTTTGTCTTATTATTATTCTTCTCTTTAGCATTAAACTTACTTTTCATAATGCGGTCGTGTGTTGCTTTTATGATTATTACTGTTATCTCTTATTGCCATCTTCGCTCGTTTTTATTATTGATTTTGTTTTCTCTTTTTTGTTTCTGATATTGTTGCTGTTATTATTATTGTTGTTGTTATTATTATTATTATTATTATTATTATTATTATTATTATTATTATTATTATTATTATTATTATTATTATTATTATTATTATTATATTATTATTATTATTATCATTATCATATATCATTACATCATTATTATTATTATTATTATTATTATCATACATCATCGTCATCGTTATCGTCATCATCTTTGTCATCATCATCATCGTCAT